GTACACCAAATAATTTAAATAGGCATAACTAGTCACGGTTTCTATACTTCTTCGCTGTAAAAAAAGAAAGTTATGTTTTTAAATAATGTGATTGTATTTCAAGTAGGGATTTTCAATTATTGTTAATATAATGATTTGATTTTCTAAAAATAATTATGGTCTCTTGTAAAAAGAGAGTTGATGTCAGGCTGGCGGCCGATCGTAAAAACAATTAGCCAAAACTATTCACAACATGTAAGGCAGACCCTGGCTAAAGCCGGGAAATTGCCAGGTAGAAGAAGAAGAAGAAGAATTATGGTCTCTTGTAAAGAAAGGAATAAAAGACAAGAGTTAAATTATATTTTCTTTTAAACCATTGAAGCTATTTTTATTGGATATATCTAAAAATAACATTGACAAAATTAAAATTCAGTATAAACGTTTAAAAAATATACAAAGATATAATTGTCTTATAAATAATACTTTATACAAAATTTCAAGTTAGTTACGATTACGAATCAATTTAACTGAATTTAATAACAAAAGTTTATCCTAAAATGTTTAAAACTATTTTTTCCTTCTTTAAACCCACCACACTTAGAAAAAAATTATTGCTTATACAACTACATAATTTAAATATGTAAAACTAATATATTCTGATAACTACGCGTTTTTTATTATTGAGAAACTCATGGGTATGTAGTACAACTGAAAATCTTACTTATATATAAATGAATACTAATTTAATTCTCATTTAAATACATAATTATGTATATTTAATTCATTCCTTTATTAATATATTTAATAATAAATCGTATGTTTTAAACATCAAACAGATTTTAACGTTGTTTTGATATCGTGTCAATATATCAATCGTGTATTAACAGATGCTGTTGATAGGTTTGTAACTTCCGAACGGCTCTCGACATTTGTTATCTGTCACGATTTTGATAATATTTAACGGTTTTTATATAGGAATAATAATAATATATTTAATATGTTATTTTGTTTGTATGTGTATTGATTTTAATGTTCTATTATAAGAGAGACAGATATTTTTGTAATATTTTTTTTTATGTAAATGGAAATATAATTAAACTATTAATTCTAATGAATACTTTTATTATACTAAAAGATTAAATTTCTACCAAAAAAAAAACGTTTAAAAAATTATATGGAAAACCTTATTTACCGTTTCAATTTTTTAACCTTAACTTTACATCTTCATACATAAATCCAATAAAAAGCTTTTAATTCACAACATTAAAATTATTCATTAAAAAATAAAAAATACCACAGATACGTAATATCTATTAAAAGTCAAATAACAGAAAAACAAACATCATTAGTTTTTCAACTCAAAAAACATCTATAATCATCTACCTCTCATCACGTACTTAATGGAGTCTTCAGATTTAACAATATAATGTAAATAAACCTATTTATTTTATACTAGTTTTTGCCCGCGACTTCGTCCGCGTTAGTTTCGTCATTAGTAATATATGTATAGCTGACCAGGCGAACTCTATTCCGTCTTAGAGGCCATTAATAATCAGGTTTCTCCTGTTTCAATCGAACAGAATGATTGACATATTAGTTAGTTGTCAAATCTAATGTCAAGGAAAACGTTTGTATGGGAAATAGAAAAGGGCTGTTTTTAGGGTTTTTACGGCAATTATTACAATTTTTCTCACCTTTTAAACCTTTCCTGGACTTCTAGGAGTATTTCAAGACTAAAATTAGCCAAATCGGTTCAGCCGTTCTCGAGTTTTAGCGAGACTAAGGAACAGCAATCCATTTTTATATATATAGAAGATAATAGTTTTTCTGAACGGGTTTTCGGACGTAACACTCGTTGACAGCTGTCAGAATACAACGGCGGTATAATTTGAAAGTATAGCTTTTGTTAATGAATTATATTATGCAATACCTATGTTTAATAGCGCGGCTTTGTCTTACACAAGAATTTTTTTTTTTTAATTATTTATATCATATAGGTATATAATGACTAAAAAGAACTTTTTTTAGGTAATTCTCGAAAGTGAAAATCACGTAAAAAAATTTTGCCTGTCTAGTAATTTGCCGAAACAAACGTACAGACATATTTTTTTTATAATATTTGGGATGATAGACCGTATTTAGATAAAAGCATAACTTCTAGGATATCTTATTTTATAATAAACTGATAAAAAATTTGATTGTAATTATTGGGTTCAAAAAGGTTGCTATACCTACATTTATTTTAGAAACATGTTTTAAGAATAACTTTCGCATTATACATATATAGTGTTTTATTTTCCCGCAATAGGGTAATATATAGTATATAAGTACATATATAATACAAAGTCTAATATTTAAGCTATGTATATAAGGAAGTTTTATTAGTAACACTACTTATAACACAAGAACGGCTGTACTTATTTGAATAAAATTTGTTGAGGAGGTAGAGTAGAACCTGGAAACGGGAATAGGATATAAATTATATCCGTTTTTCTTTTGCCCACGTCATTACTCGTAAACAGTTTTACCGATTAGAATATACTTTATTGTTATATTAATTATTAGGTATGTGAAAAAGTTTTATGTAAAAAAAAGTCAGAAAATTGCTCGGAAAATATAAATACTAAGAAAAAATAACAAATTACCTTTATTATACTTTCTGTTACGCATATTTTAATTAACTGCCAGTTGTTAAGATAGACAAAATCATTCCTACATCAATATATACTTTCTGCTGAGCATATTTTAATGAACTGCCAGTTGTTCAGATAGATTCAAGTCATTCTTACCTATAATATCTACAATTTACGAAGATCTCATAATTATATAGTAACTGTATATTATTTATTTGATTCAATCATAGTTACATTAGTCTAAAATAAGTGATTTATTATTGAAATTCAAGATCTATGGTTTTGGAAACTAACTATGTCCTTTATCCAGCGGCCAGCAGGCTAGTCTTAATAATATATTTTACATAACAAGACAAAACAGATAAGGATTACTAATATTATATTATGTATATTTGAAATAAGAGAAATATGATTTTATATTAAAAATAAATTTCCTATATAAGCTTATATTTGTAAACAGACTTTCAAAATGTTTGACTAATATAAGTGACCGTCACGGCTTTAAAACGGGAAGAAAAATTAAAAAATATTGATCAAAATCACATTTTCTTTTCTATTACTATTCCTTTTTTTTATTCTAACGCGTTGTCAAATTTATTTAATACAAATATTATCTTTGATCTCACAGCGGATTCTGAGATTGATTCATCATTTGAGAAAAATAGATGATTTGGAATAAAAACAGAAAAACACAGTTTTATTTTGGTTAAATCACAATGTATCCTCATTGTGTATACATAAGAAAAAATCGTTTTATATAAAATGTTAATTTTACATAGAAAATTATTTGATTTCTTTAAAAATGTATGTTATTGTTGTATGTGACAGTACTTTATTATAATTCTTCCAACAAAAAGAACATTGATATTAGCCAAATATTTCATAATTTCAGTGCAAATTAAGTCATACCTTAAATATATAGTAGGTATTTGATACTCCGTCGGAATTAAATCTTTAATCTTAAGAAATCACTGACAGTGAATTAATAATATGGATATTATAACAATAATAAAAAATACTGAATTGAGTTATCATACTAGAAAATTGCCTTATATTATTAATAAAAAAAAAATTAAACTGCTTGTCCGACATTAATAAAACAAAGCTAAGAAGAACAGCTAAGAATAAGGAAACTGGTTTTCATTAAGAAAAACTACATCAAAATATGTCACGGAGACTCATGTCAAACTCATTACTCGTCTTTTCTGCGTCGGTGGTTAAAAATCATAATATAAAAGCATTATTTCTTTATCTTTCTTAGAAATGATTGTTTGTTAATTTATGTAATTGTTTATTTTTAGCTTTCATAAGTTAATTGTAAAATTATTTTATAATCACTTAAACATACTTTAAGGTTAAAGAGTTTCTTCTGAAAACAGACAAAAAGTCAAGACGAAAATCGGAAGATGCTGTTCAATGTAAAATATCTTATCCATATAACCACAGTTTTTGTAATTTTAATAAAGAAAATATAACGAATTGATATCGAAAATAGCAATTATGATATACATATACCTATAACATAAAATTAAATGAAATAAAATACTGAGTTTTTTTAAATTCGTTTATAAACGTTTTAGAAACACATATCTACATTAGTGTATGTATTTATGTTTTAATATTTGATATCTTGTTATAATTTAAAGTAAGTTTATAACAATGAAAATAATATTTAAACATTTAATTAATAATTGTACTTAGGTATGTGCTTGAAACTTTTGTGATTTAGAGTCACGCGGACTTATAGGTATATTAAATAAAGCAAATTTAAAATTTATATTAAAAAGATAACTACAAAGGAAAGTTTAAGATATTTATCTTATATTTAACGTATGTAATATTCTATTTATTACTTTACTTACTTCACCCACTTTATTTTAATAAAGTAATAATAAGTGTTCATAAAAAATCTTTCATTCATAAAACTTATATATATCATATATGTATATATTTTATTAATAATATAATTATAATGAAATATGAATTATAAGTATGTTTATACCTAAATAAATAGCCGTATAGAGTAATATTATTTTTCTGTTTTCAACTCGGGACAGAAATGATTTATTAAAGAAATTTATAAAATAATTAATTAGTAATAATATATAAATTGTAGATGAATCTATGTATTAGTATTTAATAAAGTTTTATGTCTATATAATAGTCTTTATATATATCTAAAATATTATTAATTTTAGCCAGTAATAAGTCTAATAATTTATATTTTGTGTAAAAATATAGGTATATCTACATAGAAGAAATTAAATGTTGTGTATATTTATTAATATTTTACAGACAGAAACAGTCATTATAACAGAAATAACTATATGAATTACTCTATAATATTAATTAAATATTAAAAAATATATTATATATTGTAATATTTACCGGAGTCGCTATCATCTCTGTCGTAATGCGGTCTCCAATACGCTTCATCGTACCGAAGCATTTCCGATCTTCCCGTGAATTTGGTCGGATCCAGGATGTTTTCTACTGAGAAAGCTATCGCGGGCCTGTCAGGCCTTGTGAGGCCTAGCCTCCTCGTGAGGTCCACTGGGGCCGGTTCTTCAACACCCACCACGTCCACCTCACTCGCCTCAACCTCAACATCATCATCTCTCCTCTCAGACCTCATCGCGAGCATAGTCATATCAACGTTTTAACACAACTATTTCATACCATCAACACATAACACAAAAATATTATATAGTTATTTCATACACATAAACATGTTCTGTATTCTAACACGCGTATTTCGTTCCACTGTGATCCGGGTTATTCGTACGAGCGTACGTACGTATCTGATGAAGCCGGGTATTTCGTTAGGCGGGGTATGACTCTGAAAACCAGGGTAGGGATGAGACGCGATTGGTGGCGAGAAACGAGGCGTGCCCCAGTATCAAGCAAGTAATGGAGCAATAAGGTTTAAACAATTTCGTTTAATACGTTGAATTATGTAAGAGCGGCTGGCAAGTAATCGCGCACGAGCGATAAGGTCATTTGCGCTACTTCGTTACGTATTAATGGGGCAGGAAATTGACTTATGAATATTAGAGGTCCCAGCCAAAGATCGCTCCAAAGCGGTCCGCAGCGGCTCGCGTTGTTTTACTAGTTAAAAGCTGAAACAATCCTGTTTATTGAGTAGACTTAATGGTTACCGCACGGACGCCATTAACTTGTTTGGTTAGGCGTTTAAATAACTGGTCCAGGTTAACATTTGTTCATTATAACTACTTATGTTATGTTTGTTACCTCTTTATAATATATACAGGCGATATTACTTTTGTTAATATTGAGAAAAACAAAGGACAATTACATATACGTACAATTACTGCAAATCTATTTCGTGACTTTTGTTTCTAAATAAATCATGATTTTAGAAATATGGGATATATTTTATTTGTTTTGTCTGTAAATACTATTTCTTTGGGTTATATTATTAATATATATACATATATAATATAATATGTATTATTATTCCGTATTTATTTGAAAGATAATTGAGTAATTATCATAATAATTAAATCCTTATTTATATATGTAATTTCCTTGGTCTATGAATCTCGTCAGCAACGAACCGCTACCAGCTACGTTCGTAACATGTGTGTTAGTATGATGATGTTATTGTTTATTCATAACTCCGTACCTACACTTGTACACTTGAGTAAAACGTACGCTATGTTTTTTGATACAAACAAACTTACACTTTAAATTGATAGTATTAAGATTCATTTTTTATTATATATTTCTTTGTTTTAATTTGCTTATCAGCTTTAAGTCTTTTTATATTATGTAATATGTTAGTTAAGCGTCATTAGGCACGGTCAGATCTTGGATGGGTGACGGAATTGCGTTAAAAAGTGTATAAATTTCTTAAGCTACTTATTTTAAAAGTAAGTTTTTGAGTCTATTTTGCTTATAATCGTAAACCAGGTAAACACACCATAAATATATAAAGCTCTTTTATATGAAAATATTGATATTTATTAATTATTAAATCATTTTAATTAAGGAATAAAATATGTTAAGTAATAAAATTTGAAGCCTAAGATATAAAACCTAAAAGCCTTGTCAAAATTACATACCTTATTTATTAATAAAATAAAATTTTATTCTTCTATAGGGGAGAGTCGGATATATCGTACCACTTTTCACTTTAACTCACATATTTCGACTATAACACGTCTTATAATAATTAATACATATGTAAAATAAAGTTTCATATTTTAGTTTCCTAAGAAGAAGAGAACAGATCCTTGCGATTATTCTATCATTGTTAAAAATGCTTTTTTATAGAGGCTTGCTATCGGTACGATTTAGCCGACTAGTCGTTTTAAACGTACCACTAAGTCTTTAAATCGTACCATGGGTGTTTAAGTCGTACCATTGAATAAAATACATTAAAATTCTCAATCAAATTATTTATTTTTAACTGTTAGGTAAGTATGTAATAAAACAACATTATTTATATCTTTTAGGTAATAGAAACATAATTTTTAACTCTTAGGTTATATAAAGGAACTATAAGCTTTCTCAGTAAAATAACATGATTATACTATGATAATGAGATCAATCAACATAACTAATAAAAATGAGACAAAAAAAAACAGTAAACAATAATAATAAAGTAACAGTTAACAAGAATGTTATTTGTAATATAATTATTGTGCATATTTCTTAATGGAAGCAATCATGACAGAGGTCTGGATTCGAAGGACACGTCTCATGTAGCCACCGTTTACAGCGAACGCATTGAATCCAATCAACTTTTGGACCCTTCTTATCGTAGTAAGAACAATTGTACTTTTGACATATATTTTCAAGATAATCATCATCATCTAGTTCTACAACAAGTGTCTCTCCTGAATCATCGCTACTGGTGATGGAATGAGATCGTTTCCTCTTATAACTTTTGTTCTTGGCCTTGGGTAGTACTTACTACACGTACTTGCGGTAATACTATAGGTACTTGCGGTTGGTAGTCGGGTAAATCGTACCAGTACAATTTAACCAACTGCAAGTGGTACGATTAAACCAACTAAGGCATTTCTAAAACAAAAGCAAATATCCGGCATAAACTCAAAACTTAGACACGCAACAAAAACCCCCAATAATCTAGTATACAATTGTGAAATAATAAAAAAAAATGAATAACTATAGCTTACCGTGATTACGAGTTATCTCCTTACGAATGTACGAAAATATTTATATTAATTCCTACAAAAAATGTTTTTCTTTTATACTTGCATAGTTATTAACTTACGTCGATTTAAACTAGTGGGTGAAGAGGGATGGTACAGGGCCACGATTTGGCGTTGTCAGTGTAGAAAAAAATATTCATTAAATGGGAAATTTAGAAGTGGTACGATTTAAATGCTAGTACGATATAATCAACTCTCCCCTATAATACTACAGAAATATACTAAAATACAATTATCTTTTAACAAAGTCGTAATGTTTTTTTATGAGCTTATTAATTCAATTTAATAAGATAAATTAGGATAGACTAATAAAAATCCTTTACTAATGCCCACACTATCAATATATACGTTAAATACTTCATACTTCCAGTTAAATAGTAACCTATTTTTTATCTTGAACCCACAATTATAGTAACTTAAAAACTATCTCCACGCCTGTCAATGTAAATCGTTCTCATTGCTGTCAATCAATAAGTTTTTTTGTATATAACACGAATCTTGTAAATTTAAATATACAGGGTGTTTCTCTTCTTCTTCTACCTGGCAATTTCCCAGCTTTAAGCAGTGTCTGTCTTACATGTTGTGAATAGTTTTGGCTAATTTTTTTTACGACCGGCCGCCTGCCTGACATCAACCCTCTTTTGGAATGCATTCATCAGTGATGTCTAAATACTCTTAGAAAGTACATAGGTATGACTTGGAAAAATCACATTGGTACTTGCCAGGATTGAACCCGTGCCTTCATGATGATGATTCATAATATAAAATATTAAAAATGTATAGGTAATATTGAAATATTTTCTGTGTTTTTGGTAATTAATTAATAAGTATACACTTAATTAAAATATAACATATTTTTTATTACATTTATATTTCTTATAATTTACTTATATATATTTATTTTATATATAAATATTAAATAATATATTTTTGTAAATTTTTCATACATGCTGTATATGATACGACAGTCGCATTCTTTCACGTTCACACAAAATTTATAGAAAATGAAATTTAAAAGCTGCTTTAATGCTTTTTAATAATCTATTTTGTTAAATCATGGCTATAAAAATATACTGTCATTACAAAACCTATTTGACTTAAATGTTTATTCCTGTTTATTATTATAAAATGAAAATTCAACTAGATGGCGTTTGAAAACAGAATAATTTTTCTATGAATTATCTAATTAAATTCTAGTTTATCAATCAATAATAATAATAAGTTAGTTCTTTATTAATAGGTATATAAGTTAATCTCTACGAAAGTGGTTTCAATATAATCTTTGCTCATATTAAATTTCTTTAAGATATAAGGTACAATAAATAATATATAAACCAAATTAGAAACGAAATATAATAATGCTTCTTTCACAAAAAAACATATAAATCTATAAAGCATTAATATAATATACAGCTTGTTGTTATTTAAAGTCTATTTAACGTATGAATGTAATATAAAACAAATGTCAAAATTAATATCACATTATCTACTTTTAAAATATTAAATATATACCTATCAGCTTTACCGTTTTTTCCTTCAACTAATAAGTCGAATCGAACGGCCGAATAACAGCGTCGACAATAATTTAAATATTTAAAAAAAAATATTGAAAATAGCACATACATATATGTTGTAATAATTTAATGTCCATCTCATTTAACATATATAAATATATATATACTAAAGTAATAATTTCAAATACATCGCTCCAGAAACATCCAATTAGCCAGCGTCTATTTAACGCAACAAAAAAACGTCTGAAAACAGATTTGTTAAATACAAATTGGTTATTAACATTCTTGGCTACGGTTTGACAATTCGAAATGACGCGGAATTAAATTTTTGTTGCTTTTAAATGAATTATTTCATTCGTTTTAAATGTAACGTCATTTATTACTTTATATGTGTACAAGAAATAAATTATTAAACAGGGATAAATTCAATTTAAATTCAAATTAATATTGCTGAAACATAAAACAAATATAAAATTTTAATGTACAATTATATTTATAATAAACATCAAAAGACATTCCTAAATGAAGTCATTTATCATGTCACAATTAAAATAATTGAACACGAAGATTTAAATATTTGATTCAATGCAAAAAATTAAAAACAAGATCGGTATGTATGTATTAAGGAGTTAAAATAATTATATATATACAGGGTGACTAATTAATTACATAACTTTTGGTTAACTTTACTTAGAAGTTTATTAATATTTATGTTATATTAATTTTTATTTTGTCATATATGATCGTCAAATATCACGTCCTCAAGTATCGATAGTAATTCACCAGTCACCCTGTATATATGTATAAGACAATTATTTTGCCGTATTATTTCCCGAGCTATATTTATTTTCGTATTTTCTTAACTGTCAAAGTATTTTGTTTTTTGATTTTAATAAACTCATCCACAGTTTTAATTGCCGTCAGTTTTTTTCGCT